CTTTCCATACGTCGTATGATAGACGTAGCTCCTTACCATGGTTGTCACCGAGAGCGATTTCCACACGGCTCGACGTTGAGACGTTGATTCCGATGTCGAGATATTTGTAACTGGTTTTTGTCAACGGGTATCTTCTAACCAAGATCCTAGATGATTCTTTTTCCATCTTTGACATATTACTTTTATGTTTTCTATGAAAAAAAAAATAAATTGTGAGTTTAAAAGTATAACAATTAAGTTTAAAGATGTAGCTAAAGAAACAACTTACTTCACGGTTGACATGGTGCAAAACATTGTTGCTAGTAAACGTCACAGCGAACTAGTAATTTTCTCAATGATTTCGAACGACTGATGGTTCCTATTCTTTTTCACTCGCTTTATATACCCGCTTGTTGTATACAAAATTGAAATCTGACAACATGGCGCCGAAAATGCTGACGTGGCTGCCTGTTGCTATGGGCTTTTGTTCTAAAATACAGCGATGATGCAATCCGTAAACCTGCACGAACCTGCATACTATAAACATTGCGATGATGCATTCCGACAACATGGCGCTCCACTTTGATGCGCAGAGAAAAACCAAAGGATCTAAACAGTTCTCGGAATCCTTTAACAATGATACATTCCGACAACATGGCGCTCCACTTTGATGCGCAGAGAAAAACCAAAGGATCTAAACAGTTCTCGGAATCCCTATCTCTTCCAGGAATCTTTATCTCTCGACGACTCATGTTTGTATTAACAATCCTTATCTTATCTCTTCCGGGAATCCCGGAAATCCCCCACTTCCAGGAATTATTGTTATCTGATACCCCCACCACTCCTAAATTACCCCCTCTCCTCCAAAACGATGACGTCATTACCCCCTCCACTGTTATCTGATACCCCTCTTCCCCTCTTCACCCGCACCCCCCTCATTGCCCCTGGGTTAGAACCCCCATAGTATAACTACTACCAAGCCTGTTGGTCTCAAATAGCATAAAGAACAAGAGTATCAAGATTTCTGCTAACAGGTCGGAAACATTGTACAAAGCAATCAAGTTGCACAATCCAAAGACGAGTCTGCTTTTTTAAGTTTGGAAATTATAATCCAGGATCTACTACACCTCTCTTATTCGAATTGATGGACAAACATCTTAAAAAATGTAAACATGTTTCCTCATTTTTGCCTTATGAAAAAATTTCCGTACAATAAGAAAAATGCATGCAGTTTTTGCTTCCTACTTGTCTTATTCAAATTAGTGGTGGACGAAAATGACCCATGAGTCCGTTAATAAAACTTGAATTTAGAAAATCAAGCTTTTGTTTTTAATTAGATTTTGAAAGAATGGCTACGTCTACGAGTCAAGAAGTGCAACAGAAGTCGCTTTTTCTTCATCAACATATAATTGAGGATGAATCTTCTGACAAAGAAAATAATTATATGGGAGAAAGCAGTAACACTGAGGCACAATACAAAGATTTTGATGTTTAAGGAGTCTGACGAGGAAAAGACGGAACCAGAGGAAAAAGACCAGCCGTAATTTTTTTTATCTATTGATTTTTTTATTAAATTTTTTATGAAATAAAAATAATACATGTGCTTTAAAATCTGACTATATAAATTTTTATGTGTATTTACTATAAGACGCAAGATAAGAAGAATTTTTTTGACAGTAATATGAATAATAGTTTCGCCATAGTCTAAGTAAATTATATTTTGTCTATATAAAACATACAAAAAATGTTATATATTTTTCTTAATTCAAATAATATTCTGAAATAACTTTGATAACAGATACATACTATTTCTAATTATAAGGTCAAAAGAATATCAAAAAATATACATACACATATCATAAAACAACTATCTGTAAAATATAAAATATAGTTTTAATTTTATTTTAAACTTTTTTTATGAATTTTTATAAAATAAAAATCTCTTAGAAACAATATGTGCAAATATTGTTACAAATATTCATATAAATAAATCTTACGTAAAAGTGAAAGAAATGTAAGATTATATCGAGACAGAAGATATTAAGTCTAAAAAAAATCTTTAAATCTTTACTATGCGTTAAATATACACCAACTTCTAAGCACTTCAATGGATTCTTGTGATCGTAGTTTTTACGTGATATGTGTTTTTTTAGTACTTTTTTTAGCTTTGAATGAAAGGTATATATCTGTTATGAAAGATTGTTTTATTCAGAATATAATTTGAATTAGAAAAAAATATGCAACATGTGTTGTGTATATAGATAAAATATTATTATAGGGGCAATTTTTTATATATATGTGTTTGCGATGATTGCTTGTGCTTAGCGTAAGTGAACGCGGATTGCTTGGTGAACTATGTGTGAACGTTGACAAATGAACGGAAAAATGATTTCTTTGAAAAATACTGACTTTTTATTAACTTCAGTACAGAAGAATATAACGATGCCAAAAAGACCATGAAAAGGTCAAAGTAAAGTCAATAAGACGCAGAGAGAGCGCCACACCATGGTCTCTTTCGGAACTAAAAAATCCTAAATACATGTGGTCTAGCCGAAAACATATAACAAAACAAAGGCGCCATCATTTGAAATGGCCAAATACACATGCAGCGTTAACAAACCGCCCCCCTTGAAAGCATCAGCTTTCAACGCGATGACATGGTGAGGTTTTTACAGTAAAGTCAAGGCGACAGAGGTGTTGGTAATACACTAAACTTAATATTACAGAACTGCTTATTAGTTAAATGTTAGAACGACATTATTGATGTATGAGATAAAGATGAATAAAATAATTTTAACTTAGTTGCTAGAAGATAAACAAAATAAATAGACGATATAGGTTAATTATTTTCGAAAGGAAATAGGCACAGTCGTGTTACAGGTTGTTTATAAGTGCCCTTCTTTGTAAGCACAGTGACGGTGCGAATGATACCATCGTTTCCCGGGTATGTTTCTATTATTTTGGCCATAGGCCATAATAATGGAGGAGTGTTATCCTCTTTTAGGAGGACGATCTGTCCGACACGTAATAAAGTATTTTGGATCATCCACTTAGTTCGTTGCTGCCACTGATGCAGATATTCTTTGACCCATCTTTGCCAGAAGTGTTGTCGCATCTGTTCGATGCGTTGCCAGCGTGAGAGACGATTAATAGGAACTGTTTCCAACGATGGTTCCGGAAGAGAAGTCAATGGACTCCCGATTAAAAAATGTCCGGGAGTTAATGGTGTCATGTCAGAAGGATCAGAAAACAATGGCGTCAGCGGTTGAGAATTTAAAAATTGCTTCAATCTGGATCAACAAGGTTTCCAATTCTTGATATTTTAAATGAGCTTCTTTGGTTATCCGATAAAGATGACGTTTAGTTCCCTTGACAGCTGCCTCCCACAGACCACCATGATGAGGCGCTCTAGGTGTTATAAAATGCCAATTAATTCCCTTGGTAGCCATAAAATGATTAATTTGTCGTTGGTTATCTTGAGATTTGAATAGTTCCATTAGTTCTCGTTCAGCGCCGACAAAATTTAAACCGTTGTCAGAATGGATATCTGTAGGGTATCCTCTTCTAGAAATGAAGCGTTTTAAAACATCTAAAAATGCTTGACTGGACAAGTCTGTTGCTAATTCAATGTGAACAGCAGTGGTTACAAAACAGACAAAGATTGCCATGTAGCACTTTAATAATTTGGCTGTTTTTTTTTATCCATTTTTGTAGTAAAACGGGCCAGCATAATCAATCCCGCATTTTTCAAAGACTCGTGTAGGAACTGTGATTCTGGCCTTGGGAAGATCTCCCATGAGTGTCGATGCTGTTTTTGGAGCGCTCCGGAAGCAAATTGTGCACTTGCGAGTGATTTGTCGAACATCTCTGGCCGAAATCAACCAGAAGTTTTGACGTACAGCGGCTAGTGTAGCCTGGGGGCCAGCATGGAAATGTCTTTCATGTTCATGTCTAACGATAAGACGTGCCAGCGAATGATGCCCTGGAAGCAGCATTGGATGTTTGGTACTGAATGAAAGGTTCGATAAGTTGAGGCGACCACCGACTCTTAAGATTCCAGCTTTGTCAATAAATGGATTTAATCGTAGTATAGGACTGTTTTTGTTGAGATTTTGTTGATTTGAAAGTATATTCAGCTCTCTGGAAAAGTGTGATCTTTGCACTAATTTAACTAGAACTTGAGTGGCATGATTTATCTCTTCAGGCAAGATATGGAGATTTGTGTTAGTAATCGACGAAAAATCTTTGGAAGGTTTGACCTTCTGCTTTAATTTGTTGATAAAACGACATGTATATGCTACTACTCTGAGAAGTTTCATGAAACTTGAATATCGTTCGAAAATATCCCATGGATTTTGAGTGATGACTGTAGAGATGGAGACGGACTTAAATTCTGGAATATCTTGTTGCTTGATAACGATTGGAGTTTGAGGCCATTCGTTTTTATCACGAATTAACCATGATGGTCCCGTCCACCAAAACTGTGATTGAGATAATGAGGCTGGTGGTACACCTCTGGAAAGAAGATCAGCAGGATTGTCTTGACTACTGACGTGGTGCCAATCTTGTATAGCAGTCAATTGTTGGATTTCACCAACACGGTTAGCGACAAATGGAGTCCAGGTGCGAGAAACTGACTGCAGCCAGGCCAAAACTATGGTGGAGTCAGTCCACAGATGAATTGAGTTTATTGTGATCTTTAGACACTTCATGACTTTGTCGGTAAGCTGTGCTAATAACAGAGCTGCGCACAACTCAAGACGTGGAATGGATAAACTTTTTAATGGTGCTATACGATTTTTTGAACAAAGTAGTCTACAAGAATGCATTCCATCAATATCGGTGGCGCGTAAATAGATACATGCCCCATAGGCTGACTCGCTAGCGTCAGCAAATCCGTGAAGTTGTAGACTGATGTGTTCTTTGAGGATGATAGCACGTCGAGGAATAGTTATCTCTCTTAAAGCTGGCAACTCAGATTTGTATTGTTTCCATTTGGTATTGATATTTAACGGCAATGATTCATCCCAATCCACTTTGAGGCGCCAAAGATCTTGCATGATGATTTTAGCAGTAACTGTGGCTGGTCCAAGAAGTCCGAGAGGGTCAAAAATCAAAGATATTCTTGAAAGTATGCTTCTTTTAGTAGGTGTTACCAACGGTGGAAGATTCAAGATGCTGGAAAACTTGAAGTGATCGCACTTACAATCCCAGATTAGGCCTAACGTTCGTGATTCACATTCTTTGTCGGAGGATAGGATAAACTCCTTCTGAGAGCATGAGGCCTGATTATCACGAAGTGCTGGGTCATTGGAGGCCCATTTTCGTAAACGGAATCCGCCTTCCATTAATAGTTGTGAGTTTCCTTTTTGATAGTCAATGATTCCTGTAAAGTATTTGCTCCAGTCACTAAATCGTCAACGTAAAAATCATTTAGAACTGCCTTGGACCCAATTGGATAATTGACGATGTTATCTTCTGCAAGCTTTCTGAGAGATCGAATGGCCAAAAATGGTGCAGAGGCTGTGCCATATGTGACAGTGAGCAATTCAAACGTTCGAATTGGCTCACTGCTTGAATTTCTCCACACAATACGTTGAAGTGAAGTTTGATTGCAATCGACCAAGACTTGTCTGTACATTTTGTTTATATCAGCCGTTACGGCGAATTTGACTGTGCGGAATCTCGTTAATATTGAAAATAAATCATCCTGGATTGTGGGACCGACCATCAATAAGTCATTTAGTGAAATGCCAGTAGACGATTTGCACGAGCCATCAAAAACGACTCTTAATTTGGTCGTGGTACTTGTCTCTTTGTACACAGCGTGATGTGGCAAATAATAAGTCTTGTTAGTTGATTTAAAGTCGGTAATTTCACGCATGTGACCTAGTTGTAGATATTCCTGCATAAATGATTTGTATTCTGCATATATCTTTGGTGATCTTGTAAGCCGTCTTTCTAAAGACTTAAAACGACTGATGGCAATTTCCTCGGAATTTCCAAGATTGGTGAATTTGTCGGTCTTGATTGGCAATTGAACTACAAAACGACCTTCATTGTTGCGTCGTGTCGTATCCGTGAAAAGACGTTCACAAATTTGTTCTTCTGGTGATCCTTTCGGAAATGTTTCTAAATGCTCGATTTCCCAAAATTGGCAGAGTGTTTGATTCAATTGTTCTGTTACAGCCAAAAAATTGGTAGTTGATCTTTGTGACTCCGAAAGAGTGCTCGTCGTTGGACCAGATACGATCCATCCTAAAAGAGTCTTCTGTAAAGTTGGCTGAGTTCGGGAAGATCTAATTTGACCGACGCAAATGAGTGTCCAAAATAATTCCGCACCGATCAACATATCAATATTCGCAGGCACGTTAAAATTAGGATCAGCCAACTTTAAATTTTTAGGTATTTCTAATTGTTGCTTTGAGATTATCACCTGCGGTAATCTTTGAGTAATTTTAGGTAAAACTATACAATCTATATTCCCACTGAAACTATTAAAACGTGACTTAATGCAAACGTTGATCATTGTTTTGGCTTGAATGATTCCCTGAACTACACCAGAAATGGAAATATCGATTGATCGTTCTTTAAGCTGTAATTTGTCTGCAAATTTTTGTGTTATGAAATTTGATTGGGATCCACTGTCTAATAGTACGCGGCAAGAATAAATTTGATTTTTTGAATCAAATACGTGTACAATAGCTGTTGAAAGTATGACGCCCAAAGAACGATGAGTCGATGTACATTGAGTGACAATTGATTGTGCTTCCTTTGTAGAAGAGGAGGATGATTCGTCGGAATTAGCCGTTTTAATTTTGTCTACTAAATTTGATAAATGCAACAATGTATTATGTTTTTTGTTGCATTTGCGACAAACACTTGAATTGCAATCTTTAGCAGTATGTGAACTTGATCTTAAACAATTAATGCACAAGTAAGCTCTTTTGACAAGAGAAATTCTTTTCTCTATTGGCAATTTGAGAAAAGCTTCACAAAAATATAAAGGATGATTTTCTTTACATTGTGCGCAAGCTAAGTTGGATGTGGAAAGATTTGCAACCAAAGTGCTCTTTGATTTGTACGAGAATTTCGAAGAGTTGTTGGATTGATTGATTGACTGTTTGCCAGCGATTGTTTCAAGTGCCTGACATCGTTTAGAAAGAAAGTTGATTAATGATTTTAAATCTGAAATGTCCTTATCAGGAATGCTAGTTTCCCACGCTTTACCCGTTGTTGGATCAAGTTTTGAGACAATGATGTGAATGATCAAATCATCCCACGCATCTGTAGGTCTTTTTAAAGCCTTGAGAGCACGCAAGTGTTTTAAAATAGTGTCCAATAGCTCACGTAAATGACCATGATTTTCCTTGGACAGTGTTGGAATGTCAAAGATGGCTCTGATGTGTTTGTGTATTATCCAACGTTTGTTATCGAAACGCTCCTTGACAGCTGCCCAAGCATCGTTATAATTATCAGTCGTGGTTTCAATTGATTTTATAATTTCAGCTGCCTTGTCCTTGAGAGATGATCTCAAATAGTGGAATTTTTCAATGTCTGTTAAACTCTCATTGTTATGTATCAATTTTTCAAATACATCCTGATAAGAATACCAATCATCATAGGAATCTAAAAACACTGGAAGCTCAATTTTAGGCAATCTAACTCGTGATTTCCTGGGTGTAGGACCACGTACAACATTTTCATGGGTTCTTGACGCTTGAGCATCAAGCTGACTAAAATATTCAAAAAAAGATTCACAGCGTGACATTAAACTGAAATATGTAGACTCGAAATTTGTTCTATGCTGTTCTTGTTGAATGAGAAGCTCATCGTTGTTTGAAGTAGATGGCTCTTGGTTTTCAAGTAATTCTATTCGTGATTGTACATTGTATATAAATGTATGTAAATAGATCCCATAAATCAGATAATCTCTTTTTGCGTTCAGTGATGTCATGTCGTGAATCTTGTGTTACATCAAAATTCTCTAGTGCGTTCTTGTGACGAGTTAGCGATGATTTAATGGTCTTTCGTTTGGTTTTAGCTTCTGATAATGATATCGACTCCATGCTTCTTGTGCAACAATGTATCAAAAATCGTTTTGTAAAATATGCTTGTTATAACGGACCTTGTGGCGTAAACGTAATATGGCGATTGAACAGAGAAAGAGATAAAGATGTTATATGCTAATAAAAGACTATAGATTTCATACCTTGTGGTGTTGTTATACTGAAGAATTTTCAAAAATTATTTAGGCCTATGTGTAGGCTGCTTACCCTGTGGTAATGTTTGATAAAGAAAATTGTCTTGTTTTTTGATAACCTGTATGTACTCGATGTCTGTAATGGATGCCGGAAAAAACATGCATCTGGCTCGAAGGACCAATGTTTGCAATGATTGCTTGTGCTTAGCGTAAGTGAACGCGGATTGCTTGGTGAACTATGTGTGAACGTTGACAAATGAACGGAAAAATGATTTCTTTGAAAAATACTGACTTTTTATTAACTTCAGTACAGAAGAATATAACGATGCCGAAAAGACCATGAAAAGGTCAAAGTAAAGTCAATAAGACGCAGAGAGAGCGCCACCCACCATGGTCTCTTTCGGAACTAAAAAATCCTAAATACATGTGGTTTAGCCGAAAACATATAACAAAACAAAGGCGCCATCATTTGAAATGGCCAAATACACATGCAGCGTTAACAATATGTGAGATATTTAAAATTGTTATATGTAAGTGATATAAAGAAAATGACATCTTTATTCTAAAGTACATATAAGTATTTACAAAACCTTTTCAATTGTGGAATTTAATCAATGTTATAATGAAATTTATTATATTTATTCAGAAAATATTAACAAAATGAGTAACTGTGATGATGCAAATATAAATGAAGAGATTAATAACTCAAAGAAATAATGTAATTCTAAGAAACATATTGATGTAGCTGTATCTTATAGTAAGTACAAATTCATTTTCCAAGTATTTCTGTAACTAAATTATTATCATTATATTATTGTTAATTATTATAATCCAAACCTGAATAGCAATCTCTTATTATATTTTTAGGCAATACTAATGCAATGATCATCTGTGTTGACCTGCGTGCAATTAATAACATGATTATGAAAAAAACATCGATAAATTTTCATTTCTATTGTCAGATGGAAGAAAGTGCTAAAATTGACATTAACTAGGAGTTCTTGGAGACTGATTGTCAAAAAGAAAAGCTTGTATTTATCTTTTTTTTATGATATATATGTGTTTCTAAATATTTTTTATATTGAATGAAATGAGAGATCATACATATCTGTTATGAAAAGTTTAATTTATCCGGAATATAATTTGAATTAGAAAAAAATATGTAACATGTTTTTACATATAGATAGAATATAATTATGGATACGATTTTTTATATATATGAGGTATGTTTATGATAGAAATGCTTGTATAGTAATTTCAACTTTCTTTGATAAGATAAATAATAGAACACATTAATAAAAGTAAAAACTACTTTGTTATTTTTCCTTAAAATCTAACATAAATACTACAAGCATTTCTATCATAAGACCAAAGTTTTTAATAAATGTTACAATTTTTTCTTTATATATTAACGTTTTGAATCCGGATGATGTAAATGGGTAAGAAAAACTAAGATTTTAGGAATTAGGTTGATTAAATGACATCATGCAAATAAAAGCAAGTTTATTTATATTACAGTTTATATAATGAAGTGAGAGAAACTAAACCTTAAAAGGCCTATTTTGAAACAAACAAAACTAAATTTTTTTATTTTGATGAGAAATTGTTTGTAATACTATTGTCCATATAAATATTTTATATGTTTATTACAATAAATAATAAGACAGCCAATTTGCGTCGATTTTGCATATTTATTAATAAGTTATTTTAGAACATTTGAAATTTTCACAACTAGCCTATTTTATGACAAATTATATATTATAAGAGTAGTAGAAACAATGCGGATTACTTGTTGTAATAGCTGATAGTTCCAAAGACATTTTATGATTCTGTCTGTATTATATTCATAAACTATTACTGAAAATTATTTTACGTACTTAATCTGTTAATCGAGAAACGAAAAAATTTATTATATTTGTTCTGGAAACATTAACAAAATGAGTAACTATGATGCAAGTATGAATTTCTCAGGCCGATTTTTTGCATTATGAATACAAGCCTTTATATTTGCATCGTATATCTCACAACTTTTAATATCTGATAATGTAGACTTATCAATATTTTTCCCACAGTCATAACTTTTGGTAGAAATAGTAGTCTCATTGTTAATTTCACTCATATTATCACAGCTTACCATTGCACTAGTATTACCTAGAAATATTACAAGTTATTATATATTATTTATATTTATTATTTATGTTTATAATAATTGAAACTTATATGAAAATATTTGTATGTATATTTACCATAAGACAAGGCTGTATCAATATGATTTTAGAATTACATTGTCTTTTAGAATTATCAGTCTTTTCATTCGCATTGCACCCTCACAACTATCGGTTTCGTTAATATTTCCTGAATAAATAAATTAAATTTCATCAAAACATTTACTGAATTCCGCAATTGAGAAGTTTTCGTAAATAATAATGTTCTTAGTGAAGGTAAAAACTGTCATTTCCTTCTGACAATCAGTTTCTAAGGACATAACACTAGTTTCAGTGTTTTTAGAACTTTTTTCATCTAACATTGAAGATGCGGACTCAATATCTTTTCTATAATCATGACTTTTAGTAGAGATAGCAGTCTCATTATTAATTTCACTCATATTATCACAGCTTACTATTGCGCTAGTATTATCTAGAAATATAATAAGAGATTACTATTTATGTTAATGTTACAATAATTGTATCATAAAAATATTTATAATTAATGTGCATTTACCATTAGATATAGTTACGTCAATTGGATTCTCAGAATTACATTTCTTAGAGTTATCAGTTCTTTTATTTCTATTTGTATCATCTACAGTTACC